CAGCCTGGACTGTGGCCTGCGGGGCCCCTTTGAGGACAGCCCCCTGCCACGGCGGCCCCCACGGGCTGCCCGCTCCTATTCCTGCTCTGCCCCAGAGGCCCCACCTTCCCTGGGTGCCCCCACAGCTGCCCGCAGCTGCCACCGGCTGGAGGGCTGGCCGCCCTGGGTGGGACCCTGCTTCCCTGAGCTGAGGCGGCGGGTCCCCCGGGGAGGCAGCCGCCCAGCTGTGGCCCCTCCCACCCGAGCCCCCACTCGACGCTTCAGCGATAGCTCAGGTTCCCTCACCCCACCGGGGCACCGGCCTCCTCATCCGGCTTCCCCACCACCGCTGCTGCTGCCACGGTCCCACAGCGACCCAGGCATCACCACCTCCAGCGACACTGGTAAGCCCCCCTCCCCCGCCACCCCGGTTCAGGAGAGGGCAGGCACTGGGAGTTAGAGGGTCAGTGATGTCCACCAGGATTTGGGACACTATCGAGGTCCCTGAGGAGGAAGAAAGGATGAGTTCGCTCCTGGGATAGACACCTCTTTAGTCCTCACCTCCTAGGGACAGACCATCCATAGCTTAGTGGCTGAAAGAGGAGGACGTGTTTTTTGAAAGCAGTTCCATGGCTCCCAGCTTGGACCAGTTACCTATCCTCTTCAAGCCTTAGTTTCTCACCTGCAAAACAGGTATAGCGGTAGTGCTTCCACCGTAAGTGCTGTGGGGTTGCTGAAAAGTGAGATAATGCACGCAAAATGCTTAGCATTGTGCTGAAAGTGCTCCTGATTACCGCTGCGTGCCAGGGGCCGGGCAGCATGCAGCAGTGACCCATACCACCACAGTCCCTGGACCACCTCGTCACTGGCAGATGTGGGCAGAGATGATGGTTCCTTGATTAGGGGTGGGGTGTGGGAGCTGTGGAACTTCTCTGAGCTTGGGTTCTCACAGGACAGTGGACGGGTGGGCATGTCCACAGTGTCCCCACTCAGTCCCTGTCTTTCTCTCTTCTCTGCAGCTGATTTCAGGGACCTTTATACCAAAGTGCTTGAGGAAGAAGCTGCTTCCGTTTCCTCTGCAGATACAGGTCGGGCATGTGGTTGGCACCCGGGGCGTAAGGGGTAGGGGAGCGCAGCCTGGCCCCATCCCATTCTCTTATCTGTCTTTCTCTCTCTGCAGGGCTCTGCTCTGAAGCCTGCCTCTTCCGCCTAGCCCGCTGCCCTTCCCCCAAGTTGCTACGTGCCCGTTCAGCTGAGAAACGGCGTCCTGTGCCCACTTTCCAGAAAGTTCCCCTGCCCTCAGGCCCTACACCTGCCCACTCCCTGGGGGATCTGAAGGGCAGCTGGCCAGGCCGGGGCCTGGTCACTCGTTTCCTCCAGATGTCCAGGAAGGCCCCGGACCCCAGTGGGACTAGAGCCCATGGACATAAGCAGGTAGGAGTTGAGGGAGCCAGGAGGATCACTGGGAAAGCCTGGAGTTTCAGGTTGGGCCATACTGATGCCCTCTCTTCCGTCCCCCTCCAGGTACCCCGGAGCCCGTGGGGCCGGCCAGGCCGAGAGAGCCTCCACCTTCGCAGCTGTGGAGACCTGAGCTCCGGCTCCTCCTTGCGGCGTCTCCTGTCTGGCCGCCGGCTGGAGCGTGGTACACGCCCTCACAGCCTCAGCCTCAATGGGGGAAGCCGGGAGACTGGGCTCTGACCTGGGCTTCTTGTCACACTGAACACATCCAGATAAATACTGGGACCACAGACACCAGCTGGTTGGGACAGCACCCTCCAGCACCCCCTTGCACTGGCTGTCACAAAAAGATACCTGCTGTATACCCCCCAAAAGTGTCCATTTCCCTCTTACCTCTCGGGGCTCCTGCTGCTTGCCTCTGCCCCTCCGGACCGGGAGAGCTTCTGTCCTGAGCTGCATGGGTATTCAGGCTGCGGGGGAAGATGCCTGTGCTTATAGCATTGCAGGAGGAAAACGAATAAATTCCTGTCTCCCCCGGCATGAGAGTGGCTCTTTCTGTTTTGCAGGGGCACTATGGTGAGGGCAAAGGCATGTGCCAGGTTGGTTATGTACAGGGCATGTGTGCCTGAGTGATGGGGTGCTGAGGCAGGCGTGAAGAGTCAGAAAAATCCAGGTGACTCTCAGCTCTGTGCGGCCATCTCTAGCTGCATGATCTTGGGCAAGTTATTTAACCCCAACTGCCTGATCGATAAAACATTGTGAAGGTGAATGTTTGTAAATCTCTTAACAAACCATGTAACCCTTCAATAAATTTCAGTTTTCCCTTCTCTCCTGGATCATTCTTTGTCACCAGTGAAATCTGTTCTGATATTTCCTTTTTTGAGACAGAGTCTCAATCTGTTGCCCAGGCTAGAGTGCCATGGCGTCAGCCTAGCTCACAGCAACCTCAAACTCCTGGGCTCAAGCGATCCTCCTGCCTCAGCCTCCCAGGTAGCTGGAACTACAGGCATGCGCCACCATGCCCGGATAATTTTTTCTATATATTTTTGGCTGTCCAATTAATTTCTTTCTATTTTTGGTAGAGACAGGGTCTCGCTCTTGCTCAGGCTGGTCTCGAACTCCTGAGCTCAAACAATCCACCCGCCTCGGCCTCCTAGAGTGCTAGGATTATAGGCGTGAGCCACCGCGCCTGGCCTGTTCTAGTATTTCTTATATTTAAGAAAACTCTTTGAAGACACTGTTTATTTCCAGCAACCAATTGTATCTCTGCTCCTTTTTGTAGCAAAAGGTTTTCTCTCTTATTTCCACTCTTGAACATGCGTTCTCTCCTTGCCTACCATAAGACTCCTTCTTCTACCTCTCCCCAGCCACTGCTCTTGCAAAGTTTTCAGTGACCAAAGTGGTATCAGATCTAGTGACCATTTTTCTGTCACCATCTCGCTTCATCTCTAAGCAGCAATTAACCCAGATAATCAGTACCTTTCTTGAATTTTTCCTTTTCTTGTCTTTGAAGACATCACAGTCTCCTACTTTTCCCTCAGGATATCCTTTACCAGCTTTTATACCCCTGCCGGACTGGTTAACACTGGAGGGCCCTGGGGCTCTCTCCTAAACCCTCTTCTCTTTTCTACCCCTACTCTTTCTGTAGGTGGCCCTACCAAGGTCCATGGCTTTAAGTACCATCTGTGTATTAATGTATAACTCCAGCCTTGACCTCTCTGAGCTCCAACCTCCAACTGAACATCTCTGCTTAATGTCTAGTGGGCATCTCAGATTCACCGTGGCCATGACTGAACTTTTTTTGTTTTT